AACACATAGGACCGTGGGGTCTGTCTCAACACATAGGACCGCGGGGTTTGTCTCAACACATAGGACCGCGGGATACGTCTCAACACATAGGACCGTGGGGTCTGTCTCAACACATAGGACCGTGGGTATGNGGGGTATGTCTCAACACATAGGATTTGGGGTTTATCTCAACACATAGGAGCTATGTCTCAGAATCAAAACATTGACATCATTAAGGTCACATCTCTAATANCGTCAACGTTTCCTACAACGACGGTTCCGCTTTCCTGAACGTGACGTTCACCTCCTACTACCCTTACATCAATGTGAAGTGGTACTTCGGACGAGAGGAAGTCCGGGAAAACCACCCGGTCAACAAGTACGTCATCCAAACTGACCTGGCCGGTGACGTCATCGACTCCAATCCAGTGGTGCGAACAGAAGAAACAAAATCCACCATGCTGACGGTCACGTGTGTATCAGAGGACGATTATGGGATGTATAGCGTGTTGGTGACGAACAAGGCGGGAAAAGCAGTGATTCCAGTGAAGTTGGCCAGGCACGACGAAGGTAAGTTATTATAAAAAAAGATCAACAAAAACATACGAACAAGCAGAGACGTTTACTACCGAATATACGTTTCTGTAATATTCAGCCTACAAAACATTACTTATACAGAAAGGCTCGATGGATATGAACTACAACTTCTTTTAAGATAAGAAGGTGATCATATTTATTTATTTTTTTGTAGTTAAATTAAGTTTTGTTTCTAATGGGATGAAAAATAGTGCAAAGAAAGATATTTTAAAATTAAAACGGCGACTTCTCCTGAACGCCTACACAAACTGTTATATTTGGTCTGAAACATCACTGGGATATTTATTTCCTTTTTATGAATATGAGGTTGGTGTAATTTATGGACTTAAGGAATGATGGGGCCAAATATTGAACACAAGAAGGGCATTTTGTGCTTCAAAAGACGATTCATTTTTTTTCCGCACCGGATGTAACCATAACTTGTTTGTGACTTTAGTAAGATAACAAATCTTGTTTGTGACTTTAGTAAGATAATATATCTTGTTTGTGACTTTAGTAAGATAACATATTTTGTTTGTGACTTTATTAAGATAACGTACCTTGTTTGTGACTTTAGTAAGATAATATATCTTGTTTGTGACTTTAGTAAGATAACTTATCTTGTTTGTGACTTTAGTAAGATAACTTTTCTTGTTTGTGACTTTATTAAGATAACATATCTTGTTTGAGACTTTTGTAAGATAACTTATCTTGTTTGTGACTTTAGTAAGATAATTTATCTTGTTTGTGACTTTAGTAAGATAATTCCATATCTTGTTTGTGATTTTAGTAAGGTAACTTATCTTGCTTGTGACTTTAGTAAGATAACATGGACATGGTTGAGGTCTTCACTGCCTTACCAGTAATACAGTTGTTTGACATAAACTGAAATACATCTTATGCTTCCATGATTGCCCGTGGTATACTACTCATGAATAACTGTTTGTTGGGTATGAAGAGATGAACGTAATCAATGATCCCGCGGGGTCTGTCTCGACACATCGGACCGCGGAGTCTGTATCGACACATAGGAGCGCGGGGTCTGTCTCGACACATAGGAGCGCGGGGTCTGTCTCGACANTTATCTCGACACATCGGACCGCGGGGTCTGTCCCGACACATAGGAGCGCGGGGTTTGTCCCAACACATGTATATAAGCTAAGTCACAGAATCAAAACATTGGCATCATTAAGGTCACATTTTTTTTACACATATATAGGGACCCTTCACAATTGAATTAAACATCCTTGGTCCTTGAGAGCTGAGATTCAGTGGATATAAAGTAACAGGGTAGTTTTCTAGGGGGCTGCTGGCCAGTCAAAGATAACGGAAAACAAACAACACAGTTTTCTTATTTGTTTGTTTATTCCTGTTTTGTTGTTTTGTTATCAAATATCAAACTGAAATTGGTCCACATTTTTTTTCGACAGGTATCCCAAAGATGGTTCGGGAAATGGTTACTTACATCTCAAATTCAACAGCAGAAATGTATGCTACGTTCCATTCCTCGTCGGGATATAGGCGCATTAGATGGTTGAAGCAAGATAAGGAAATAAGACACGATTCGTCAAAATACCTGATCGACAACGTGGACATCGACATCGAAATCACATCAAATGGAGAAAAGGTTGAACCAACCGGAACAGTAACGAAGTTGAGTGTGACGTCACTTGATGAAAAGGATTACGGCCTCTACAACGTACAGATATACAACGACGTTGGTATGACCGACCGCTCAGCGACACTGAATGAAGGTAAATTTGATTAAATTCCTGAAATCTCTTGTAAAAGTATACTCCAGGGGCTACCCTCAATTACGCTCACTGCAACCGTGGAATACGTCATGGCAAAATTGAAGGCACGCGATTGGCTTTTTGATTGGTTTCAAGTAAAAAAAATCCTAACCAATCGCAAGGCTGATAGCTTCCCTTATAAGATAACTTAGTCCGTTAGCCGTTGCCCTGCTGCGCGATTCTTTTGAATTACATTATAGGATCAAATGAGTCTACTTGTGTTATCCAGAAGATGGGGCTTACAGGGTCTTGTATTTTGTAATAACAATTCAATTCCAGGGGTGCAGAGAATACAAGGGACATAACCCCTGGAATTTCGAGGTAGCTATTTATCATCCTGATATCAATATCGATTTCTTCTTTTACAATTTAAAATACAAGTGTATTTAATATGTCAGGAAAATGTTTCATAGCTATTGTTTAATGCCATTGCATTTAGAAGTACATAATTTAGTGTGTATGCCTTAATGGCAGTTCAAGAAATCAATATATGTTTTTTTATTTTTTTAATGCAAAATAAAAACCAAAAAAACAAACCGGTTTGTATTGTTAGGAGTTTATAACATGATTTTGTTTTTATTTGCAGAATGTGGTCGTAACTAAAATAAACTCCTGGAATGATGCTAAGTGTATAGAACTCCTGGTATGATGCTAAGTGTATAGAACTCTTGAATATGCGCCAATATGCTACACCAAAGACAACCCCAGTGACTGATCCCATATTACTTTACATATTATTTGAAATAAAAGACATCTCGCAACAACGAAAGAAGATAGTCCATTCATGACGATGGAAACTGAGTTCGGGCTGGTATTAGCGTGTTCAAATCGGTATTCACGGAGCAAAGTTCCTAAATTCTGGACTTAGGATCGCTCCGCTGACCACTTTATCAGAACTGAAATATGTCTCGGATTCCTTTGAACAGATCCTCACATATGCTTTTCCGTAACGTGTATTATCTTTGCCAGTCTGAATAAAGTCACGTGTGTACTGCAGTGTCACGTGTGAACTGTAGTGTACTGTATAGTCACGTTTGTACTGTAGAATCATGTGTGTACTGTAGAGTCACGTGTGAACTGCAATGTCACGTGTGTACTGTAGTGTACTGTTTGGTTCATCAGTATATTTTAATCATTTGCTAGGCTTCCACGTATCCACAATCCTTAACAACGATTCTTACATCTGTTAGGAACTGTTTCCCTGGAACATTTGATCTCTAGAAGATCAGTGGTGCTACATCTGGTGGCTTTGGAGAGCTATACTGGAGTGTTCAATTTAATCAGTATTTTGTCCTTTTTTATTGGTTGTTTGGTATAATGCGTCAAAACATTTCTTGATACAGTAGTGAATTGTGACTTTTTCATTATTCAATTTATATAAATACATGAAGTTTCATTAGAAATATAAGTGGATACTTGTTCTTGGTCATACATTTTAACTATATCATTATATACAATTATTGTTTGTCATGTCTGAATATTTGGTGCTTAGCACCGAGCCATTTCATCATCATACTTTATTTTATTGGTTTTTTTTTTCCTTTTCATTCCGTTGTTTAATTTTCCCCAAACTTTGTGTTTCTAATTGAATTACATACATTATCCACTCTCTCCTTGTATACCTCATTCAATCTCTTATTCACCAACAGTTATAAACCTCATTCTTATTTCCTAATTTTAATTGTTGAACAACACCCAGTATTACATAATCGCTCAACAATACCTGTTACAAGAAAGTTTTATAAAGTCACTTAACGAAAACTGAAATATATCTGAGGATTTTTTAGTGTGCATGTATAACTGCTTATTTGTTAGAACCTAAAATTATCGCATAGAAGTTGTAATTAAGAGTTATGCCAATGACCCCTCCAATATAGACTTGGGTGTAGAAATATACAGAGAATTACAGGTTTACTGTGATGTACCTGTATGTCAGCCGACAGAATATTAACACAAACGGAATGCATGATGACAAATCAACCTTCTGTTTATCAAAACGCATTTTCTATGTGAAAGCTTGCCAATAAATCTTGATTTTAAAGAATTGCTATTTTATTCTACTTTTTATATCTCTAAATGAATCAATCAATATATACAACATTTTTTTTAAATCCATCTTACCATGAACACCGTTGGTTCTAAACTTTTTATACAAGGGAGACAAATCTTACTTGCTAACAAAAGCTCCTAGTTAGACCACTGCACATTTTGAGGAGACAATTTGTAGGGGTTTAACCCATTTCCTTTT